TGTAAATTTAAAAGTAATGCACCATTACTTTACTAGTTACGTGAAAAAGTAATCTGATTGATTTATCACAGAAATCATGCAGGCTGTCTGCTGGAGACCAGGTTTTTTGCTGTGAACAGACAGTTTCCAGGTGCACAATCTCATATCTCACACACACACACACACACACACACACACACACACACACACACACAGAGACACACACACAGAGACACACACACAGGTTTGTTTTTTTGTGAAAAGTGGGGACTCTCCATATTCGTAATGACACACACACACACACACACACAGACACACACGCACACACACACAAGCTTATGTGTGTTCCTCAGGCAAATTCCATTCCTCTTGTTTTCCAGTCACACATGTCCATCTCCATCAGCACTGTGTTTGATGATCTGCAGCTCTGAATGCTTCCAGTATACACACTAAACTTGAAGAGAAGAGAAACATTACTAGTAGGGTACAACGGGGTAAAAGGCGCTTTTGACGTTATTTCCATCTAAACCACTAGACGGCACAAAAACGTGGCGTAGCACTTTCCAAAACATCTGCTTTTCAAGATGCACGTGTATATTTGTCTGATCCTTGACGCGATCGCACGCAGCAGAGCAAAGATGATTCTGTGCTTACTTGATCTAATATTTTATGGGTTTTTTTTTTATGTTGTAGATTTAAGTAGCAAATAAGAATCGCTAAAAAAATGCATATATTTTGAGACAAAGGTCTTCTTTATGATTTTCAGTTTTGTTTAAAGGTCCCATGGCATGAAAATGTCACTTTATGCGGTTTTTTAACATTAATTTGAGTGGGACTGGTTCGTAGTGGCTGAAATTCTGCACCAAGGCTGAATTTCGGGAAAGAGACTTCAGATACAGTACTAGGGACCACTTAGGCATATATAAAATCATGTCATGGGACTTTTAAGATAATTAAAGCAACAGTTTTTAAATAACGAAATAGTATGTAAAAGTATGGTATTTGGGGTAAAAAGCACCTCTGTTGTCGGGGCTAAAGGCACACAGTAATTAACATGATAATTAATAGATGGCTGATTTCTCCATTTGTTGGCATTCAGATGGTAAATATCATATATTATGTTGGGTGTCCATATTAGAGATAATCACCATGTTTAGAATGAAACCTTCATATTTAAAAACATGATATTAATCATATCATATAATAAAATATTATTTGCTGTTACTACTGTAAATACATATTCAATTATTATTGTATCTACTTCAATACTTTCAGAATCTTTACTTATTAAAACGATTTTGTTTCTGTATTTTAAAATATATTTTTTATATTAACATATTTTAATGACAGTATATTTATTGAAAAAAAATAATTATTTTATTTTTCAAAATAAACAGAACATAGTACAAACTTTGCGAAAGTGATTGTTTTAAACAAGTATTAACTTAGACATTATTTAAAAAACATTGTTTTAGCTAAAGTATTTGTATCAATATATTGCCACCTCATACATTTATAAGATTTTTAAACAAAATAAACAACTTGAATTATTTATTTTCACACATAATATTACTGTTTTTACTATTTTTGATCAAATAAAGGCAGCCTTGATAAGCATATACTTCTTTCAGAAATATAAATATAATCATACCAACCCCAAACCTTTGAACGGTAGTGTTTATGTTATAATTATATAGTATCATATATTATATATAATTATGGTAATTAAACATCTGTGGGTGTAAAAACACATCTGTAACGTGGCTGCCTGATTCATAGAGAGTCATCAAACGAAAGCTCATTCGATAATTAAAGCCATTAAGACACAGGAGAAAAAAGCGCCAACCTGCCGCACTCTGATTTGCATGTGACTCTGAGAGCGCCCCCTGGTGTACAGGTATATTAAACATGTTAGTGATTCTTTCCGACCTTCTGACCTTTCCAGGTTTTTTTCCTCCAATGAAAGTTTGACATGTCTTTTCCTCGTACAGACAGGCTGTACTAAAATTAGGAAGTGTTTTGTTTGCTCCTTCTCTTTTCAAAGTCTTACACGGTGTCAGAATTGTTTTCAGTGAAATCTCTGTTTGTTTTTATTTCTCTCTCTCTGAATGGCGCTTGAGGACGAGCTGCCGTGTCCCGTGTGCACCGATCTCTTCCGTGATCTGGTGTTATTGAGCTGTGGACACAGTTTCTGCCGTCACTGGACCTCCAGCAGCTCCAGAAACTGTGCCGTCTGTCGACAGGTGTCACTGCAGGAGCCTGAGGAACACCTGCGAGTCCTACCTGAGAGAGAGAAACACGAGGAACGAGAGGGATGAGGAACACGAGTGTTAGATACATGGAGAGGTGCTTGAGCTGTTCAAACTGATGAACAGCTGTTATGTGCCACGTGTAAGAAACATTGCCAGCATGCAAGGCACAAAACACAGCCTTTACAACACAAATTCAGAAATTACACTAAAGTTACATTCAAGCAATGATGTAATGTATCATCTGATATACTGAGTACTAAACTGGAACTCGTTGTTTTTAGCACTACTCTGGGAACCAACTGTAATAATAGCTACTACAAAGCTTTTTATTGACATAATGAACCAAGTTATACATCAGACAGTGATAATTTAACAGTATAACACTTCTTTTTGCTGATGCACTTCAGAAATAATAATCATATTTATTACTAGTTACAGAACAAAATAAATAATGTTTTATTTTTTTTATTGTATAAAATATCCTATTTTCTTAAATAAACCACTTTAAATAAGAACAGTCAGTCTTTTGAATATTAAAGAGAATGCATGTTAAAAATGCAGGACTTTTTGAATAAGGTCCGTAAATAATTAAACTTAATGACTCTTTTTTTTTTTTACTTTGTATAAGTAATGTTATACCTTGTTGAACTCTTTTTGTAAATTAACCATGCATTATCTCGGGTATATTTTTTAATTATTATTTCTTAAATAACCAAACAACATAAAGGCATCTCTGAGTGCGGCTTCAAGAACAAAAGTTCAGGAACCACTGACAATAAAAAGGTGGAGAATGTGAAAAGGCTCTGCACCACTAGAGGGAGTACTTTTTTCATTTGAGTGGAGTTAAAGGAAAACAAGACTCACCTTTAAACAGGTGACTAGAAACGAAAGTAAAAAAGGAGGAAAAGAAGAGACGCCATCTCAGGTATTGCATATAACGGCTGCATATTTTGAGGTAAGTTCAGAACTTATTATTAATGTAACCATGCAGTCATATAAAATCAGCTGCTATTTGAGATTTTTACTTTTCAGTACATGGGATTTCAATACTGTAACACTATGTTTTGAAGGTTCAACAGCTCTGAACAAAATGGCAGTAACATTGTTGTTCGAAGTGCTTTGGTAAATGATTTCTGATATATTCAGATTTACGCTGGCATAGCCTATGTAACAAGCAAATAAACAAACTGAAAGTTGCCGTGTGTAATTGCTTTATATTCTGTAATGTGTAGATCCTGTGATGTCTACAAAACAATAAAGTGTTTTTTGTTGTTGTTGTTGTTTTTTTAAGTGACACTTTTGCATGTATAATAATCAGAAACATTCAACAAACCAGTGGTTATTCATTCTGTTGCACAAACGCAAGAAAAGTGCTGTCAACCTAACTTCTGCTTTTAACTGATATGCGAGTGTGATACACTGAGTAAAGTACACAATCATCGCAGAGTACTGCACTTGTACTGCATTCAAATTTCCACATCAGTACTTGAACTACTAAAAGTACTAAGCTTTTGTAGACTGTTGTGAAACTATGTTGTGTCCAGATTTCACGTTCCTGCTGTAACATTAAACAAATTAACAAATGATTACCTGAATGGTAAAAAAAAAAACCTTGAACAGCAGCAACCAGATGTTTGAAATACATAAGTCAAAAACATAAGTCAAATGAAGTGTAAATCAAACCATCACACACATAAACACTGAACAGGAACATAGTATAGCTGCTAGTCGAGTTCATTTGACAGCACAGCTGTTGTTCTACTGGGCTGAACTGCAGTTGTGCTGTACCGAGTTTAACTTGTATTGCACTAAACATTTCCTGTAATACCCAAAATGTGCTACAATGCGCTATAAGTAAACTACAAGTAAACTGCACTGATCTTCAGTTGTTCTGCAGTTATACAACAGATTACAAGCATACTTATGGGTGTATATTATTAAATGGATAGTCTTCCCAAAAATTAAAATTCTGTCATCACTTACTCACCCTCATAAAACATCATCTATTTGTCATGTATCTAAGCGGTTTCTTCTTTCTTTTTAACTATCTTTTGTATTTATTTATTTTTTTAGGACGACACTGCCTCGAAAATGAGTCGCCATGACAAGAGAGATAATGAGGGCACTGCCTCGTCATCTGCTGGATCCAGCTGTGTATCTATAAAGAGTGATAAATCAATGGATTTTCCTGCTAACTTAAATGAAGAAACAGTGACCTCTGACCCCAGGTAAAACAGTTTTTTTTTTTTCAACTTTCCTAAACAGCCAAATCCCATGCAGTTTTCAAAAAAAATCTATTGATCTATTGAACACTTGACTGAATCCTGTTAACCCATCCTCGCTTTTATATATATTTTAAAAAGTAATCTTTACTATACCTTTACTCTTCTCTATCCTGTACTGTTCTAGCCTGAACAAGTTCTCAGTCTCCCTAAGGCACTGTCTCCGCTGTCTCCCCCTGTTCACCCAAAAATAAAAACTAAGTCATCATTTACTCACCCTGGTGCTCTTCTAATGACGTATGCCCCTCTTTCTTTCCGGACCACAAAAATTTATTTTCTAAAAATGTCCCCTGTAAATCATGAATCATGATTTAAGAAACTCAATGAAATAACACTACATGTAAACCAAAAACAATGTATGAAATAACTTGCTGAAGTGGCTTTCAAACAGCTGATGAAGGGCAATGTGATGTTCTATGAGGAGGACCTGATTGAGAGCGGCATAGACGTGACTGACGCCTCAGTGTATTCTGGGATTTGCACTGAGATTTTTAAGGAGGAATCTGTGATTCATCAGAGGAAAGTCTACAGCTTCATTCATCTGAGCATTCAGGAGTTTCTCGCTGCTTTCTATGTGCTTTACTGCTATTTAACAAAGAATGTGGAGCCACTGCATGAATTCAGATCTTACAGATCTGATGAAGACTCTCTGTATAATCTACTAAGATCAGCAGTAATTAAAGCACTCCAGAGTGAGAATGGAGAGCTGGATCTGTTCCTGCGGTTCCTGCTGGGCGTCTCACTGGAGTCCAATCAAAGACTCTTACAGGATCTACTGACACACACAGAGAACAGCTCCGAGAGCATCAGGAGAACCACACAGTACATTAAAGAGAAGATCA